GATTTTAAAATATCAAACAACAAAAGTAACAATCAATATATGACTTTTCTAAGTATTTTGAAGACTGAAAGTATTATTTATCTTCATACAATGAAAAACAGAGAATGAATAATCTATTTAATAAAATGTTGAAAATGTTATATACTAAATTTAACTGATGAAATCAAGAATTTCAGAACTACAAAGAGTTGTTTTGAACTTTATAAATTATTGAAAAAAATATATCAAAACAATGATGTCTCATTTGCAAAAACAGATTTGTGATATTTATAGAAAATCAATGTTGTTTTGATAAATCTAACAACCACTGAAATAAAAGAAAATAAGAGAAGCAGATAAGTTCAACTGAACAAATCAAGAAAAATAAATATAACTGAATGAAAAAGTGCTCCTATTGTTATAAAAAAAATCATATTATAAACAATTGTTAAATGTTACACTCTGAAAAACATGATTAAGTCTGACAAGTAAAAAATCAACAATCTCAATCATAAAAGCAGTTGCTGCATTGAGAATATAGATAACTAAGCTGTGAAAGAAATAATTATTAATGATGAGTATATGAATGCTGACTAAAGCAGAATGGTTGATGGTATGAATGTTGATAGACTTTAATATGAATGTGAATTTCATATTGTGAGGGGTGATGACAGTGTGAAGAGTGAATAGTAGAAGATAGTATATAGTGTAGTGGAAGATAATAATAATTATAGTAGTAGTATAGTTGAAGTTGTAGTTGTAGTTGTAGTTGTAGTTGTAGCTAATCGCTGAAGAGGAAAAGAAAGAGAAAGAAGATGTGCGAAATACATACATCCATATATATATACATATAGAAATAGTGGTAGCGAGAGTATAATGGAAAGAGGTAAGAATAGACGAAGATATAAATAAAGATAATAATAAGGAAATAATAAACGAGTGCATTACACATATCCCACATCTGAGCATCAAAATATTTCTCAAAGTCAAAGGGTAAATTGAAAGTAGTGAAAGCAGTTGATAATTATAGAGTTAAATTATATGAACAATAAAAAGCTGTGATGAAGATTATTGATGATGAACATGTCCTTTAAAAAGAATTCCACCATTTTAAAGAAGCTGATATTAACAGATATGATGTAATTTTGAGCATGTTGTGATTGCAAGTTGTGAACTCTGATATCAATTGAATGTGAAAATGCTGAATCTATAGAAAAGCATCAAATATTAATTACATGCATTTAGATACTGTTAAGAAATTTACAACTTTAATGAATAACAGCAATATCATATTCACCGCCTTTTCACTATAAGCTATGCACACAACGACTGAGTCAAATATTTCAGATGATTAAAAAAATTATGTTGATATGTTCTGAAAAGATATATCTGATGCAGAGTATGCACCTCATGATCATGTCATAGATCTCAAATCTGATAAGAAATTATTATACAAATTGATATATAAAATTGTAATGTGACGGCGCCGAGGCGGTTGCTACTCGGCAGCGGCACAGAGGAGGATGGTATATAATGGGAAGCCTTATGGGTGGGCTTGATTATCTCGCTTGAACCGCGAACTCGTAAAATACTATACAAATACTGAACTACCAGAGGTACTCGGCACACTAAGAATATTGTATGAGGACAGTGGTAACTCTGGTATCTTATTGTCAAAAGATAAAAGACGAATCGCTGGCTCCTGGAATAGAGAGCCAGCATCTAGCTATTCTATATAGACAACGGGCAGCCATCCTCCCCTCACTCTATGAGCGAGGGTAGCCGAAGCAACTCCGCAGTGGCGCTGCATTGATCTGCCAGAAGAAATCCAGACCCCGTATAGAAACAGGATTCTCATATCTCATCAATCGGATCCTCTTCTATTGCATCCGAATGATGTCATAGGGTGGTTGGAAACCGGTTCGGACACCTGCGTGACGTTATGGGATAGATGGGATTATCCGAGGGGAAACGATGGGCCGTGTGGAGCCGTCACGGGGCCTTGGCACAACCAAGGGTGTGATACAGATCAAGCTATTCAATTGAAATTTTGTAGCAATATTTAATTCTTTCAAATATTCAATCAAGAATTCATTTCCAGTTTTTGTATTGAATAAAAGTTTTAAATTTAACTGTCTCAATTCAAACTTCTCTCTCAATCTCAATTTTAACTTTGTATACTTTACACAAAGTAAAAGAAGATGTTCTGAATTTTCATATAACTGCTAATCTGAATATAAGTCACTTCAATCATTTCTAATCTTTGTTAAATATGATTTAAAATAACCATGTCCAAGCTTTAGCTATATTATTGTAGCAAAAAATTTCTTTTTACATTTTATTGAGCAAGCTTTTCATTTTGACTTAGTTTCAAACCTAGAATATTTGTATATTATATGTATGTTGATATCAACATTGTTGCATCTCAACATTGAAATGAGTGACAGCTTCAATGATCTTTCAATGATCATATTGGTTGTAATAATCAAGATCACTGACATGGAAAGTGATAGCAATTGTAACAAAATTTTCAAATTCTTTTATATTTTGATCTCAGAACTTTTTTCATTTCTTTGGAAGATGATCGTTTATACTGAAATTTAAAGTCGATTATCAAATGGTATCTGACTACATCTCTCAACTGACAAGTAGTCACAGTATTTTTCATTAAAATGTTAAATGTTTATAATATAGATTTCAATGATCTGGAGATGTTTGTGATATTTTTGCAGTTACAATTCATATTCATTACATCTCTACCATGGTTCAGATGTGCTTCAAGTGTATTTTAAATAATTGAAATTATTTCATTTAATTTTTATAATAAAATATCATATTGATGTTGAAGTTCTTGCAATTTCTTCTCAGTCTATAACTTTTTAATTCTTTTAATCACAGTTATTTTTTTAATTTTAATTGCATTTAAATCTTCAGAAGAGGTGTCTCCTTCTCAATTATATTTAAAATTTGATTTCATAAAAAAGAATGATGCTTATTGCACACTTTCAATGATAGAGATGTATATTTCACAGTTTTCTTCATTGATGTTTATTGCTTCTGATTCAGCAGTGGCACAAGTACAGCAGATGTTGTGAGTAGAGGTTATAATTATTACTCAACAAATCATCTTTTAAAAATTGAGTGATTAGAAACTGTGAGGAGTGATGACAATATGAAGAGTGAATAATGAAAGATAATAAATAACATAGTGAATGATAATAATAATAATTGTAGTAGTAATAATAGTAGTAATAATAGTAGTAATAATAATAGTTAATTGCTAAGAAGGAAAAGAAAGAGAAAAGAAGATGTGCGAAATACATACATTCATATATATATACATACAGAAATAGCGGTAGCGAGAACATAATGGAAAAGAGGTAAGAATAAGCAAAGATAATATAAAAGAAAATAATAAGCGAGTGCATTACACAAACCTGCTCCGATCTGCAGTTGAGGATCCATTCCCCTCACAGAGAATCTCTGACTGACAGCCACCCACCATCATAGAAGAAGATAACAAACTTGAATGGGAGATTGAAGCAATCCTTGGTGATAGAACCAACCACCACCGCCGCGAATATCTTGTCAAATGGATAGAATATGATCGTCCGACCTGGGAACCTGCATCCGCCATGGAGGACACCACCGCCCTCGACGCCTACAAGTCATCACTCACCCTGGTAGGGGGGGATAATATGATGGGTTAGCATCTGTTAATAGTTAATTTACACAACCAACTCACCTTCTGCATCTACTCATCTCTGTTATTGCATTTTGTGCTTGTGTAGCCTTTAACAATTCTTCTGTGTAACCTCTTCTGCTTCACACTCTGCACTCATATAGTTCTAACAATTCTTCTGCATAATTCTTAATGTTCTTCTGCTCTGTGCTTCACTGTGAAGCAGCTTCTGATATTTTTCTGCTCTGATCTCCTCTTTATAAAAACCCTCTTTATACAACCTTTTCTTCTGATCTCTTTTCTCTTTCTTTTCTTAATCAATTCATAATCTGTATTTAGAATAGTGCTAGATCATTAATCGAAGTACGCTTATTACACATCTCAATCTTGAATTGTTAAAATAGCTTTATAGTAATTTAAAAATCTTTGAAGAGGTTTGCTTTTCTAAAAGCTATATTATGATGTGTATTACATGTATAAAAATCAAGAATTTCTCATAGTAAATTTATATGGGATGTATTCATTGTTAAAACTAACTACATAGCATCCTAAAATATATGTATAATTTTTATAAAAAATAATAAATGGATAATATCTCTTGCAATTTGTATATGTAATTTATGAGTAAAAGTGCCAAATAATATCGGCTGTCGCTCAACAATATACTTATAATTTTAAATTATAAATAACTATCTTATTTATCAATACTGTATATGTCTAAATCAATAAATTACGTATAATATAATAGTTTCATATTCTGAGTGTTGAGATATCCACTAGATGATCATTCTTGATTTTATCTGGAAAAGGCTAAGTGAGCCACGTTTTCACCCCATCAGACCACACCACACACTCCGACTGACATTGGGTTGAATTACTACTGCATGCTCACCACCACACACACAAGGTCGGGATCAGGGTTATCAAAGATTAGACGGTCGATTTCAGCAGATGTTAGTTGTCATTCAATGCGACTCCATGTTTTGTAAATCTGTCCATGCACATAGATATAGAAGAAACTCTGCTTTTCTGTTGTTATTTCTTCCAATTGATGTCTTGTTTTGCTTTTCATTTTCTGATTGCCGCATCGGATGCATGAGATGTTTAAACAGGAGTATTGTTTGTTGCTTTAACCTATCGCTCTAAAACATGGGCTAGCGTTGATACTCGCAGCTCAGAGCGACTTCATTCGCGCCGCGGTATTTGATGCTCAATGCATATACCCCTTGAGAAATTCATGAAGTGGGGTAGATGGAGGAGGAAGTTTATATGAGGAAGCTCAGAAAAACTGTCAATGTGGCATCTCATATATGTCATTACATATTAGGAACTCAATAAGCTACTGCACATCTTCCTGCCAGCCGAAGTCCGTCTTAACTCTGATCCCCGAAGATTGATTTTGGCTTTCAGAGTCAGCATCACTCGCCCCATTTCGTATAAAATCATCCATCTCGAACTGCGCGGACACTGTCGTTAGCGCAGTCTCATCTTCTGTGGGTCGCAAGCGCATCCGACCATTTCCCGATTCCGGCTTTTCCCCTACGGCTCCTTTCATCCTCTGAAAGCCATTCTTCTGCTTCTTAGTACCGTCCGCGGTGGTACTTTGTTGCGTTCGCACCAACCCAGGTGAAATCCCTGGACCAGAACTAAAGCTCTTCCCAAATTCCGTTCCAAATAGAACACGTGATACTTTTTGAAGAAGAGGCCGTAGTGTTGGCAGACAGGCGCAAACAATGCCAATGCATGGCTCGACGAAGGACCAGAGGAAAATGTTAACGAGGATAAATGTGACATCCTTGGCTCTCGCGAGCTCGCCCATAAATTTGATCCGAACAATACTTACGACACAGACACTATAAGCAGCCAAACATTTGGTTGTTAGCTATGAGCTTCTGGTGAAAATAAAGGTATTAAGGAAGGAGCCGTATTACGCACAATGTGCCTAACAAAAATAAACTGGACACTAAAATTTTTTTTGACGTGGGCATCTGAAGTTTCCAGACAAGCGGAATGGGGACAAGAAGTATCAATACATCTGTCGCAACATTGGCTGCTGCATTTCCGAGATAAAATATGTGAGGTTGGAAGCGACAACTTCCAGATTTCGCATCCTGGACCTGGGTCCAGTAATAGGATATCGGTTGGCAAGCAATTATCAGAGTGATGGTGCATGCAATGTAATAGCCACTCGAAAGAAAAAAACAGACCCACATCGACCAGTTCATCCCGAAAATACGGCGATAAAATAGCAGGATTGAAAATTTTATCAGTGGAACGTTCAAGATATACATGAACATGTATATGTAGTGTAACTTCCAATAACTCACAACTGTTAGTGATTCTAAACACACACACACACACACACACACACACACACACATATATATATATATATATATATATATATATATATATATAGTAATTCTTGTCCTTACCTTTATTAATACCATCACATCAGACAGAGGTACAATCCAGACATGTTTCCCAAGGCCGTATTGACCCCCTATAAACAGCCACTTTTAGTCCGAATGGGTATTGAGAGGAAGCTTCGAACATCCAAGGTTGTCCTCACCTGATATCGCAAGGGCGAAACTGCACGTTACAGATGCCTGATAAATGACTGTCAGAAGCATATAAAATCCCGCTGGTTGCTGGACAACTTACGAGTGAAACCAATATCAGCCAGTCATCGGCTTTGACCGTGAAGTTCTGCATCTTGACTCTTGTAAAGAAACGTAAAGCCACGGAAATTGCAGCAAGGCCATATACCGTGGCGACGGAGGCATTGAATTCGCGATTGCGATTTTCTGTGAGGTCCGTTCCAGGAGGCGCATCACCAAGAACGCTGCTCATTCTCGCAACCTAGAGTTAGGAGACTAAAGAGTTATAGAGAGAGCCGAATTTATCAAAGACTGATAAAAGAAAAGAAAGAAAGAGAGAAAGGAAGAAAGAAAAAGGAATGAACACTCCTCTTATCGACGCATGGTAGGCTGTCAATGAAGACGGAGATTGTGCACACCCAGCATTGGGCGTGCAGCAGTGGTTCATCTTCTAAGAAATGGCGATGGACGAAACGCTCGTCTTGCATCCAACTTGGCAATAATACGGAGAAAATGCCGCTAAGAACAAGAGAGGGAGAACGCGATCTCAAGCCTTTGGGCTCGCCGATTGAGCTCGCCATTGGTGACACCAGCGACCTTCTCCAGACTACGTCCAACCGGCGTCAGATAGCGTCTTGCCAGGATCATGGGTTTCATCGGCAGACGGACGGAATGGGCGGTTGTTCTCAAGACGGAATGACAAACCCGCTGATCGGAGGAAAATTCCCCGCTCCAGGCCAAAAGGCTGTGACGGACGGTGGACCAAAAATAATCTACAATTGTGATCAATTAGCGCAATCGAGGTGTTTCTCTTGACGGATGGTATCCCGGTCTTGACGCCTTCTCGAAGTCTGCAGGGCAAAGGATCAAGTGGACTTAATGTACTTTCAAGGGTTTCCTATCAGATACCCCACATAAAAATTCTTTGGGCGAACAGGACCCTGAGTTGAAGGATGGTTTCCCAGGCACAACTAACTATTGACTTCGCGCTTTTGGTTTTCAAACAAGAACACGAAAAATTCTGACGTTGTCATGGAGGCGGAAGCACACAACCTCCAGGAACACCACCACCAATCTCTTGCTTTATTTCTGTCTCTTTCATCTATAATATAATATAGCAAGATCCTTCCATCTCAAGCTTAGGCATTAAGATAGGGTTTCCTTAGTCGACGCCACTCACCATTCGAAGTCTCAGAACTGGAGCTCTTTCGCGCATTGATCTCCGTCATAGTCCATCCCTCCACGCACGTAAATGGCACAGCAGGCTGAGCCAGCCTTCCGCATTCAGTATATCCAGTCAGATAAATGGTTGAGAATGATGGCTAGCATGTGGAAACCACGTTGTCAACGCGGGCACGCGAGGATCACACTTGTGAAGTGGAGGAATATCTCGGCGAGATTCACAGAACCGCAAGTCCGGACGGTGCAGCGCTGGCCATGGCATCCATGCCTAGAGGGCAGGCGATACCGCCGAGCTCTGCACATTGTGGACATGGACAGCGAATTTCAGCTCGCTAAACGGCAAGTTGGCACCTCTCCTCAGCGGCCAAGTAAGCACCAGAACTCGTCTTTTTCACATCTCATCACCCAGGATGCTAACCTGTGGCGTTCAACAGGAACTTGGAATTGTTTTCAGGGTTTTTCTGGAGACTTCGTTCTTCCTCCTAGTGCCCTGATTCATGTGGCGCTTGTAATCAGAGCCCTGCTGGTTAGACCCTATGGTGTGGGGTGGTTGGGCTACTCAGAAGAAACTCTGAGCTGTTACCTCGTAAAGAGAGGGAAGAGAAAGTGTGTTGAAACAAACAGGTACGACGGCAGCCTATAGTGACAAATGTGTCAAATGGGTTTTTTTGATGTTTTCCACTGTAATTACTTAATTCCACTTACAGACACTCATTGATAAACATTTATACTAGAAAGCAATGCATCTTGAATTCTCTAAGTACATTTTAAAACAGTGAATTTATGTCATTGTAGATATCTAGTAATGATATCTAGTGATGCTAATGATGATATCTCGCAATAATATCTAGCAATGATATCTAGTGATAATATCTAGTGGATGTGGTTCCTCTCTATACTGCGGCTGGTGGTCGCAGTGTATCAGTGGTGGGTTCAGTGGTCACACCCGCGCTGGGCCGGGCCACACCACCACACCCATGGGTATATATATCACTATGAGCACAACCATTTAACAAATGATTATGTTGGCTTTTCACTATGGATAACCTGGTGATTGTAGTGCTATCTCATCACAGTGATGATATATATTGAAGATGATATCTAGCAATGCATTGCTTCCTAATAATCAACAGGCTCCATTCAATTACAGAGAGAATGAATATGATAGGTATATGTACTGTACATTGTAACACTAGTATAAAAAACCTATTTGACACATTTGTCACTATAGGCTGCCGTACGAGCAAATATATCTTAAGATGGTTCTCCACCTGAAGGATTTATTATCCTTGTGTGGTGGTGTTTTGGGAAAACCAAAACTTAAAAATTTATATTACACGCTAACCGGGGCCTCTTACACCGTCAGCACCTTCTCCCTTTCACAACCATGGCTTGGCTGAACGAGAGCCACAATCCCTTAAATCTGAGAGGCTGGCTTCATTGTCCCAGGAAGGACTCCATCGTCGTCAACTCATCCTGAATGAGATTTTTCGGCCCTCACCTGGCCACGCTAATCTCTGCCACTGTACTCCGTAATATACGAGAAGATTCTTTGGTCCAGTGCTCATACCATGGCAAATCTGAGAATACGGGCCAGGTCTGCAATGCTCCCACCTAAGTATATTGCGCCATTTCCTCCTCACCATTCTAACCACCATGGTATCAGCGCATTCCTTCTGTAGGTGATGGACAGTCTGCTATTATCCCGGAATTACTTCACCCGCATCGCATACCATGCGCAGACTTTCAAATGTGGTGAACTTTAAATGCACCCCTCATTAAATCTCAGTGTTCCTTCGAGAAACAATCTATGTTCGGATGGCAGGTGTGGCAGCGCAAAGGCACGATTACATGCTATTCCAGTGTCGATGGATGTGGCATTCCCTCTATGAATACGGAGTAGTGACGTCCAAACCACCTAATAGGGCTCTGGTAAAGCTGCCAAGGAATGCTTGATCATGGTCGCGAGCCTAATCAGGAAAATCAAAAAGATTGCGAATGGAGCAACGTGCGAAATCTTCGCAAGAAACAATGGCTTTATCTGACTAATTAGGTAAGGTGATTTTGTTGCAAGTCTGAGTGGCTGTATTGAGTGCTATCTTCTGGGGGTTATATCCACTTGTGTGGGATGCTAGTCTGTAGTAGGAAGCTGAGGATCCCACAGATTATTACAGAGTACTTTCGAAGCAGGTTGCAAAAAGCCCTTCGATATTCAATGTCATCTGCTCCTAGGCCTGGGTCGTTCTGGATTACCCTTAGCCGCTACCCCTTGTCCAACGAACGAAGGCAGTGTTCGGCAAGAACGGAAGCGGGGTGGGCCGTCGTTTGAAGACTTGTTTACCTTGAAGCGATTGGATGTTAGCGGGCGATGGAAAGTCCATGTCTGTCCGGTTTTCCGGCCTCGCCCATTCCATTCCACGTGCTGTTTTCAATCCGTATAAAGACATGCCCCAGGCTTTCTCACAAGTCTCAACTGCCTTGCTGAGAAGGTGGCGCTGGTCAGTTGGCATGTACTGCGTAGGTCAAACGATAATGCTGTGGGCTGATATGCATCGATCGAATGCCCTCCGCAGCGGAGAAGCCTGTCTGGGAACCTAGCCTTGCCTCTGGTGACAGTGATTGTAGATATATCTGATTGCGATGCCATTCAGAAAACCTGATTCCACGACCTTACGAGGATAAACTCAGAACATCTGGTATCAAGCAATTATCATTTTAATATTGAGGGGAGAGGTTACTGTTCGCAACTACGCCTGAAGTCGGGAGTGGCTCGTCAGGTCAAGCTCATCGCAAGCTTTATGCTTCGGCTACTGCGACAATCAAGTTTCTTGGAAAGGGGCTTGTATGTTGACATTTTCCGTTTCTCGCAGAGTGAGTTTTAGTCGTTTCACCCATATCTCCCTGAAGCAGGAAGCTACTTAGGGGCTAATTAACATCATCCACATTAGCAGGACCAGAGTGTCGCCTTACATAACTGTCGAACGATATATGCGGTCCTCACGTCAGTTACCGAGGCTCATTGCTAATACCGGCGGGGTGGTGCCTGTGACTCCCTTACGAGAGCAGAGGATTCGGTGATAGCTTCCACATAGTCATATCCAGGGAGGATATCCTTGCTGAGTTAGGGGTGTGCGGACAGTGACAGAATCCGACTGGGTGAGAGTCAATAGTATTTTCCTCAAAGTATTAATATCGTTCGGTAATAGGGTAACAGAGCATCAGTTGTCAACTGAGCCTGCATGTCCACGGGCAGCTATCCAGCTTTTGACGCGCTGCAGGCATTGGAGCCGGTCAAGACACAGCCAATGCAAGTCATATATGTCGTGGAGAGTTTCCGGAGGATGCGATGATTGTGGTCTGAGAGGCCCAGTGGTAGGCGGAATTTCCGCGACAGAGCTGGACGTGAAATAACTCTTCTGGGGATTTTCTTCAGAAGAGGCAGTTTCTCACAGGGTCCAACGAAAGCATGGATGGACCGCATCTCGGGGTGGATTCAAACGTTCCCGACTGATACCACGATACTAGGCATTCCGACGAGCTAGAGTACCAATACACCCGACTTTGGTAGGCGAAAGCACAGTGATCTCCCACATCTTCACAATAATTTCGAATGGTAATAATGTAGGAGCATAAGGGCTACGGGTAGGGCTGTCATTTCCGCCCAGCTGCCATTCCTTTGAACAAGTTCATTCTAGAATTTGACAAAGCACTCATTACATCATCACGGCATAGCCATGTGATTTTTTAGAATGTTCCCCCGCAAGCCCACAGGTTCTAGTAACGGCGATTTGAGCCGGCGACTGTAGTCAACACTAAATTGTATGATGACGAAGAGGGAGATGCCGAGCTTGTTCCTGGGCGTCAAGATGTCCGTCCTGCTGCAGCTGGTCCTCGACTTGGCCAGTTCGGACTTGTGGTTCATGTCAACGGCAGAGATGTGAATTGCCGGCTTCGGGAAGAGCGTTGCAGCTCGAGTTTTCGAATCGCGAATCTCGCGGGGTAAGCCTTTGACAAAAGTGGATTGGGGTTTATCTCAGGAAAACTCCAGACTCGATCCTTGGAATTTCTCAGCCTTGCTACGTATCTATCGGAAACGAGGGACCATACGGAGTAGACAAGATTGGATGAGTTAAGATCCGGGGTCCTAACGTGGCTCGACACATGGATTCTGCTGTACAGGGGGTTTCAAGGAACGCTTCACCCAATAATGCCGCCAAATAAACCTACGACAAGGCGATCCTGCGGGGCGGATTAGGGCTGTGCCAGCACCAATTGGGCAAGGCACAGCAGCTTCTTCCGTTAGTGCCGCGCCTATATGCAGGACATGCAAGTACCTGATATCAAACCAGAGTCTGCCTCACTGTTTCAGGGGGGGGATTTGCCGCTCCAAAACAAAACATAAAGAAAATGCATGGTTATAAAAGACGTCTTTTACTACTTTCTATAGTTTCTTTATTCTTCGGTAATGGGTTACTTTTACTCTTGTTCTGTAGTTGACCACAATACATCCTTCGGTGTGGCCCTGCGTCGTTTCATGGACGCAATTACAGGCGTTTGAAATCTCGCGCAACGATTTAATAGCTCGTTATATTTCCTTCCAACTCTTGCACACGCATCACTCTCCGAATTTCAAGGGAACTATCTTGCAAGACATCAACAGAAAGAACAAAGAAATGGCCAGTTTCATGCGCTCCTTGAGGAACGGGCTGATGAGGAATGGGCTGAAGCAGGACGCGAAGGAGAAGGGCAAGGCGATAGACTGGGCGACTTATCCAGACGAGCCACCAGCCTATACCCCCACAGCAGAGACTCAGGAAACCATTGCCGATTCCTCACCCTACGCCTTTTTGAGTGATTTCGATACCATCCTTCTCGTCGACGACAGCGGAAGCATGAGTGGCTCACGATGGGCCGAGACCAGAGAAGCACTTTCAGCTATAGCCCCAATATGCGCCGAGTATGACGAAGATGGCTTTGATATATACTTCTTAAACCACAAAAATTGGAGCAATCCAACCGGAGCATATGCGAACATCACAACATCAGAGGCTGTTGGACTTATCTTTAGTCGGGTTACGCCGAGCGGACGAACCCCGACCGGAGGCCGACTGCACGACATTCTCAATCCGTACGTAGATCAAGTCCGATACAGGTCGGCAGGGGGTCCTAGGGGTGTGAGCAAGCCACCTGTTAAACCGATTAACGTCATCGTGATCACGGACGGCATCCCAACTGATGATGTGGAACCGGTGTTGATCAGTGTAGCAAGGCGACTGGACGAATGCAATGCGAAGCCGTGGCAGGTAGGAATTCAATTTGTACAAGTTGGCAACGATCGATCTGCTGCAAGGTGGTTGGAGAGTCTTGATGATACCCTGCACAAAAACAACCATGTGCGGGACATAGTTGATACAGCGCCATGGAGTGGCGCAGTGCTGTCATCTAACACCATTTTGAAGATCATGCTCGGCGGGGTGGACAGGAGATACGACCGACAAACTGTTTCCAGAGTGGGACGCAGATAGTGTTTTCTTCTTTCCTTGTTTTCAACTCAACCCCTTTTGTTCCTATTCCAGGTTTTCTTGATAGGCTTAAATTTTTCCTTCACTTCTATTACGGATACCATGCTGTGTTGTTTAGTTGAAGTTATTTTATTGTTGTCGAGATAGGCCCTAGCTGCCAGGGTGTATTCAATCAGCCAATTGTCAGCCTTGTCTTCCGTTAAATCCAGTTTTGGGAAAAGGCCAAATGAGCAGTGCATTGTAGTTCGTAATCGATGCACCAGGAATTGGGGATATAATAATAGCAGGAGTAACCTGATATCAAGAACAGAATCAAAATTAATCAAATTGATAAATAACTTCGACGAATCATACACGTAGAAAATGGAAATGTTTCATGTCTCAATTTTGGAGTGTTAGGACACAGTGATGTTGCCTCCATGCAGTGATAATATCGTCGTGGGATCGCCGGCGCAAGATTTTGTATGAGCCCTTCAATATAGTAAGTATCTCAGGGACGGTAGTATGAAAAATCTACTCATGACTGATGACGTTCCACCTATCCACTATCCAACAACTTTGTATGATCAAGGTTTTTTTGCGCGGGTATTTGAAGCTGAGAAGCCAAATAACGGTTCATTTCGCTCACTTCTTGAGCCGGGAGGCAGGGAAGTTTGATGGTTGCCATTCTTATAAGCACCCTGGGACTCACTCTCCTTTTCATTAAGAGATGGAACAGCAATACTTATTGCCGGTATCAGCATGTCAGCTTAAATTCTTAGAACAAGTCAGAACATTTTTGGTCTATGCACAGGAGGTATAGTTAGTCATCCCAAACGGAGAGACTTCATTTCTCTCACTCGCGGAAGATGGCATCCAGCCAGCCATCATTGGGAAATTTCCTCTGTGCAGCGGCGGAATTGAGCAGCTTGTCCGCGACACGCGACCAAAGGGAAAAAAGTCAAAACTTCAATCGGAACTCCCCATCATCGACAGGTACTCGCGGTCCCACCCACTATAGCATATAGTTGCACCGCTGTGCAAAAAATATCACCGCTGTACCAATTCTCGCCTTTGTTCATCCCCAATCACGCGATTATATCTATCTCAAGATGGTTGAAAGATCTTAAGAAGTCGACAAACGTGTAAAAGCAGCTACGGAATTCGATGAAAGATGCCCTGGCCTCAGCCGTGCTGCCCTTGCTCGTCAATTCAATATCACCCGCCAGATGGGCAAGAAGATAGCTTTAGATGAGAAGTTAGATAACTTCAGAAGTTTCACAATCTTGAATCCATCAACTCTGATCATTGGGAGGATAATTAATATGATCTAGATTCTAATTTCACAAATAACTAATATGACACAATTGAGATAATTAAATACAAGCCGCAATCGCTCGCTTGCGCTCGCTTATCCAGCTTGAAAACGCGCCGTTTAATCCCTCGGGCGAACGTTATGAGATATACAACGGCTGCACGTGACTTGTATAGGTGAATTACATGTAATCTACAGCTGTTAATAAGAGAACAATCACATAGATGAAAAACATGAATAACACTGTAGTAGTGTTGTAGAGTTAATGTAGAAGCACTAAGTGAGGTGTAATTAAATGCCAGGCAGCTCATGTAGAGAATGTAGCAATTACAATCAAACAGCAAGCATTTGAAATGTGATGATTTACATGTATCAACCCTCAAAACATCTGTAATACAATTGAAGCAGCCAAAATGGTTGAATGTAAGTAGAGAACTGCCAAAAAATGAAGAAAAACAGCTCAGAAATGATGGAATTACAGCTAATAATAATGCAGAGCAAGCCCAGCAAGCTCAGCAGACTCTGAATGCCCAGCAGCCTGTGCCACCCGCCAACTCTCTCCCGCTCCCGCTCCGCCCCCAGCAGCCCCAGCAGCCCGCCAATGCATGGATGCCCGAATGTAAGCTACGGCTGCTGGTAGAACAAATTGCCAAGGACAGCAGCAGGGTCATTACACAGCTGTGAGAGATGAGATGCAAGAGGGATATAGTGATGTGTGAGAAGGATTTCAAGTCTCAGTTAAAAAAAGCAACAAATGTAGAATCAGCACTTGCTCACAGCTGTGGCATCAAAGCCAACCCATTGTGTGACTTGTGTGAGAAGAATCACAATCCATTCATTAAATGTATTGTGATTTTCAGCATGTTGAAAGGGGTCTGTGTGAATTGTCACTACAATTCATTAAGCAAATATTGCAGCTTGCAGTCTGATAGTAATGAATCATCTCTATAGCATGCAAACACATTAGCAAAATGTATATGTAAAATATATATACTGATATAAAAATAACAGAGAATCAGCAATTCATTGTTCTCATCAATACAATCATCATCAACACTACAGCTGCAGAGAAGAATGAAAAAAGAAAGAAAAAAAGAAAAAAATAAGTTGTCAATGTAAAGTCAGATCAAACAGCTGAGCTGTTTAATTCAATTAAAAAAAAAAAACAAATAATGTTTATAACATTGAAAAATAAAAAAAAAAAAATGATAAAATGAATGATAATGAAATTATAAAACTGAAATTATTACAATTGTGAGTGAAGATATATCAACTTTATAAAATGAAGAAAAAAATGAAATGTTTATATAAAAAATGAAATAAAGTTGTGAATCTATTGCTCATGATTTAACTCAGTCAATAAAATGTTTTTATAATTATTACAATCCTGATTAAAAAATTCAAAAAATAAAAAGTGATGTGGGTGAGCTGTATGAGTCATGTGAAATGTGAAATGAACTCAGTGAAATGTTATTGCTTTTTTCTTTTTTTTAATAATTAATATCAATTTGAAATAATAATTTTTTATATATTCAAAAATTTTTATTTTAACATCTGATGATGGCATTCTGTAGACAATGAAGAAAAAATAATAATAATAAAAAAATTAATTGAAAAACTATAGAATCTCTAAATATATCTCATTTAATATACATTTTTCATCATTCTTATTCAGCAGAACAATTAACTGACTGACATTCAAAAAATATAATATACAACTGATCATATAAGAATATGAGATTTCTGAAATTAATATCAACTGTAGAAAGAAATTGTCTCTGAAACTTGTTGATTATCATTGCAAAACATGAATAAACTGAAAAATGATGATGAATTATATTAAATGAAATTTCAACAAATTGAGCATGTAGATTGATCTGCAGTAATATATAAATTAAATTCTTATATATATCAAGAACAATCGAACTTTAAGGGCCATGGTGGCCGAAAGTGGCAGGCGTTTGGGCTGCTTCCGACCGTCCCTGCACCCCGAATTCGCACCCACGCTAATCAACACTAGACCCAATCTAGAAGTCATCGATCGCTGCTTTTTGTGAGCTCATTTAACGCCGGCCAACGGTCTCACCTTCTGCTCGCGCGACTACTCGCGAACCGCTCACCCTGTCACAGTCCACTCATTCGCCCATTCGCCCAACTGGAGCGCTCCGTTTCTGGCGCTCAATCCTACAAGCATGATGGCCGCCTGGATAGTCATGGCTTCCCCATTCTATAAATACTTCCATGTCTCCCTCCCTCCCCCGCTCTTCCTTTTCCTTCGGTTGCCGTTGGGTCCTCTTCAAACCATTATACCTTTGTTACCAGTCCCCTCCTATCCGCCCCAACTCCCTTGCAGACGGCTTGTCCACTCCAGTCTTCCTCCATAGAATCCCTTTTCTATCTACCTACATATTAGCCGCAATCTGACGCTCACACTGAACAGGATGCCAGTTGGAAGACCCAAAGTGCCGAAAGCTGGCAGATCACGCACGGCAAGTCGACTGGATTCACCCAGAAAGTTGAACTACAAAGCCATATTGGAACGACACGAAGCGGCTGGCCGCACATCCAGACTCTACTCCGCAAATGCTGAGAAAAGCAGAGGGACAGTCCGGCGGAAGCTTCAGCGGTAAGTAGTGATCTCCGTAAGGAAATTGAATTGACCTGCTTACAGAGACCAGCTTCTGCTCTGCTGAACTGAAGACCACGGAAGAGGAGTTCATCGAGAATCTGACGGCGGGCCGAGTCAAGACATACTTCGACTGGCTCGAGAACACCCATCGGAACAGCATCAAGGCAGCGTCGGCCTTTGACAGTTACTGGAGGCTTCTGAAGACCCTGTATGTGGAGCACACTGGTCGTGGCATGGATGATGGGATGGCGCAGGATTGTCTGAAATGTAAGACCATCAGAAGCAACTGATGTGGCCCCAGCTGACGGGCTCCCTCCGCAGTATAAGAACATTGTCATCAAGAGATGGGGTCTCCGGCGACGACCGAAGAGGAAGCCGTCAGGCACCAAGGACGATGTGTACCGCATCCTCCATGCCCATTGGACGCGGTGTACGAAGGCGTACGCTGATGAGAAACAGCGACTCTACGTTGCTGCAGGTATCCTTCTATCTTTCATCTCCGGTGGCAGGTTGGTCTCGCTGTTCGACACCCGGATCAAAACAAGTGATGAGAAAGCCAGAGACGGACCGTCAAAGGGAGCGTCACACACAGCCAGCAAGGACTCAAAGCGCAGGACCAACTGTCGCCGTGACCGTCCCCGAGACATCGCGGCCCCCAACCTCTACTTGAAGACGGCATCCCAGATCGGCCAACATGATAACCGACCCATAGCACCAGAGAAACGCAAGATGGTTCATTCCGACAATGACGAGGAATATCGCGACACAAAGAAGACACGAATCATGGCTCCTCGAAGAAGCTGTCACTCCACCCGAGAAGTGTCCTACGGCAAATATGGGATGCGCGGTGAAGACATTATGTACGATGCCCAGGATAGCGACCTGGATAGCCGTACGAACGACAACACAGACTTCGACTCAGGGTATGTTGATGAAGAAAGAGACAGCACTCACAGCAATTCCGGGGAATCTCTCTTTGATGAGCTTGTGCGAGAAAACGATACCGACACTGAGTTGAGTGTAGAGTCAGTGGAAAGCGGCTCCACCAGCGGTTTGTCCGCCGACAATGACATCAGTGAACTTGACCGCTTCATAGACGATGTGACGGACGATGAGTATGATGCAGGTCCTGAGGAGACTGGGGCCCTTGTCTGGCGGCATATCGAATTCCACATCATTCAGAGCCCCTTGGCTGGCCGGCCAAACATTCTCCTGGCTAAGGTCACGCTTCTCCACACGAAGGGTGAAGACAAGAAGCCGCGAGTGTAATGCTATGCAACTTTCCCTCTTCCCAATCTCTGCGTTTCTTTACACTTCAATGACTGACCGACACTGCAGGAAAACATTCGTCATCAGCCACAATCCGGAGCCGCTCCTGGACCTTCTGGGGCACTTTCTCTCCATGGCAATAGATGACGAGATCTTCGCGCCTGAATTCAAAAAGCTTGAAGATATCTACTGGTATCCCATCCCGTCGCACCTAGGTGGTATGAACCTAAAGATCAAGGCAGAGATGCTGGACGTGCCGGTGTTCCGCCCATCCTCCGCGCTATCAAGCCCTTTGACTGGAGACCAGCCCATCGATGAAAGTGTCGCACTTGCTATCATGGGATATTTTCTGTCCATATTTTGATCAATTTTGGCATCAGTAGCTTGATTCCGATTTTTCTCCATCTCCACTATCTCTCTCACAACCTGCACCTGTCTCTCTTCCTCCCTTTGACTCTCTATTTCACTCCATTTCTAGACTTCCTTCTGTTTTTGCTTCAGCCTTTCACCTTCCGCTTCCGCCTCCGCCGTTTTCATTTTCTGGTATTCCTGGTAGTAGTAAGAGATATGTAGATTTGACTAGGATTGATATAGCTTGATGTAGCGATATTCGGCGGTAGAATTTATGTGGAAGGGATTTGACGGGGTATTTTGGGCATGTGACACAGCAGGGTGCCGTCGAGAGGTGTTGACAATATTCTGTTGCACGGTGCTCTTGAAAAGTTGAACGATCAGAACATCGGCGTGGCTTGTATGGACGAAGAATGCTTGGGGCACGCGTGGGATAAGGAGGGTTGGCTCCGAGATATTCTACTAGACTGCGGAGAAATGTTTTGTTGATGAAACAGCTGGCTCAGTGGGCTGAAGATGGGGACTGTGGGACTCAGAGACACTAAATTGGAGCGCGGAGGTCCATGGCTTGAATTATAAGAATGTGGTGTTGAGGACGAGCCAGCAGGTCCAGTCATCAGCCTCTGGGAATCGGCACGGAGGAGTGGTAATGCTGAAAGAGAGAGTAATTTGTTCAAGGAATAGAGAAAACTGTGTCAGCAATAAGAATTAAGAGGACGGCACTGAAATGTTCTGTAGCCGCAGCACTTGATTGTTGCAGTGAGGAAACAAATCAAGTTAATCGCAAAGCATGGCGGTCGTGGAGCTCGAATAGGAGAACCAAAAATGATCCCATGTAGCAATTATGGAAAGTAAAATCTTTCTTGAAGTCAATGAGGATTAGGTATCTTGTCGCGTAAATTCTATTAGATGTGGACGAACCGCCGGGCTGGGCGGCAAAGACCTCACGTACATAGCGGCTCATTTGCAGCACAAGGAAGTAGGGTTGAAAATGTTGAGATAAATGGGGAGTTGGCTTTTCGCCATCGCTACAATGCTGATTGAGGGATGTAGAGCATTCGCCAGTCCACAAGCGAAATATTTGGGAGTGTTAATCCCGATACTTTGCGTGTTAAAGAAGTGATATAAAATTTGTGGTGTCTTATGGGTAGCTCTATCGGATCCATGTCGATTCCATTAGAAATAGGAATGATCTCCTTCACGTCAGTATTGGCAATGTTTCCCGCGGCCATTATCTTCAGTTATTTCCTTGCATGAAACTGGCTGTTGAAACTGATGGCCAGTGGTGGGGTCCATGAATTTTTCAAGGATGGAAGGTAAAGCTGTGTCGATGTCGTAGAATTGGAGTTGTTGGACGCGTCCTCGCATTCGTTCAAAGATGCCAGAGCGCCCGATTTCCGGGGTGATGAATGCACTTTTGAAGGGTTTCAGGAGCAAGAGAACATCATCAGCTGATCTTTGAAGACAGCCTCTTTCTTTCATTGAGATGTAGCAGAAGCTGGGATTGGAGGTGTTAGTTGTGCTTTTTTGATTATCCGAACGTGATACATTTGTAAAAACATGTTGGCAGGAGGGGAAGGGGCCATGGGGAGCTGTATACTCACATCTGCGATTCGCGGGCGGGCTTTGGGCCTGTAAGTTTGTGTTTGCATTTGGGGATGGGAAGCCCTGGGGCAATCAGTCCAACACACCATCCCTCGCAGCCCTCGGGTAATCCAGCGAGACAGCGCAGATGCATTTGCAAGGGTCTGCAGTAGGTCTTTTTCTCTTTGAAACAGAGGTGTCAAACATATGATGGGGTGCAATAGTATTTTCCTCCTTGGCTGCGTGCCCTATGATGGGGGGTGGAGGGTGGGTGGGATTTTGGTTTGTCGAAGGTATTCTGTAGTGTACTTTTACATATATATTTGTCGCTTAAGTAATTAGACCGATATTTGTTCGAGGAATAAGGAAAACGAA